TTTTCACTGAGAAAACAAACAACGACTATAAAACTTGCACCAGACATGCGGAAATAATAACGAAACGATTTCGAATCAATTACAAATCGATTTCGAAACAAATACGAAACAATTACGAAACGAATTGAAAAAATTCGTTTCATTTTTTAGTTGCTCCTGAATGGTTCAATATCGCTTCATTATAAAAAAAATAACGAATTAATAACGAATTACGAAATTAACGAACGAAACTGCCCAGCCCTAGTTTATAATACAGAATAAAACAAATCACAAGTAAACCCCCCCCCCCAATAATACAAGTTTAAAAATCATTAACAAGCAATCCAATTTGGGGGAGGGGTGGAAATAAACAAATCTCAATAATAATTTTTAAAAACCCCTTCTTTCATAAGATAACAAATTATTAATCTGTATGTTAATTTTAAACAGTATACAATAAGTCTTACCATTAAATATGATGTCTAGACATTATACAGAACATTTTTCCCTATCTCATGATCCTGTATAGGAAGTGAGACCTTTTGCAAGTGGACATAACCATATTTAATAAGGGAAAACAAGAAATCCTATAAAACATTAATTTATAACAATGTAAAACACATTTTAGATTATATTAAAAATACAGTACATTGAGAGTGGCTGCTATGCCCAGCAGATCACCATGGTGATCCATGCCTTAATTTGGAGTAGCATAATGTGATCTCCTTAGGGCTGACCATGAGAAGTGCCCTACCAAAGTGCAAGCTACAGTAGTGCAAAACATGTTGGTCAGGCAGTTGATATATGACTTAGATATCATATGTAGACCAACCACACTGGCTTCCAATTCTTTCTGAACTCATGTCAAGGTAATTGATCTATAAAGTTCGAAATATTGTCAAGTTTCTTTCTCCCAAATATATATTTAAACCATACTAATGATAGAAATGTCCAAGTTCTTCATTCCACTTTCCCCCAAATGTATTATTTTCAGTAGATCCATTTACCTAGATATTTACCATGAAGTGGTCAGACTAAGTTTACAGCTAGGAAATTGAGTCCTCATTTCTGAACTAAATGTGCTGGGTGAAAGCAGGATAGTATAATTATTCACACTTGAAGAAAGACCAGTTGGACTCTGGTTAGTTTCCCAAATACAGCTGATACAAGATGACAAGATGCAGACTGGAAAAGTATGTAGATGGAGCCAAGCTATGTAATTATTAAAATCCAGAAAATAATCAGTTACTACAGTTCTCTCTCCAAATAGAATGCAAGCATTTATGAATTGGTTGTAGTAACTAATGCCAGCATTACAGAAGAAAGTAACAAGCCTCAAAACTTAAAAAAACCAGGAAACAAATTTGTACAGAGGGTAACTTTGGGAAAATTATTCTAAGAACAGACCTGGCTGTTTGAGCAGGCGTTCGAATAATTAGTGCAATGATTGGTTAATGAACATTGGAATGGAACAATGGATGACGAATCTGGAACATGTTTTTGATGACGAGACGACAGTGAATGGGTATTGTAGTAACTGTTTATTAATTGTGCAATGTGTTAGGTTGTTAACTGTTTTTATACTGTAGCACTGAATTTTTGCTGTTCGTATTTGTTGTGAACCGCTGTGAGTCACCTTCAGGCTGAGAACAGCGGTATATAAGTAAGGTAAATAAATAAATAAAATAAATAAGAACAGGAAAAGTGAATTTAATTTTAGAAAGACAATATCCAAGCATTTGAAGACTTTTATCGGGTTCATAGAATAGATCTGCTCTTCTTCGCAAACCATAGTTTCTTGGATAGACATGGCAGACTGACCGGATTTTGGGACACGTGACTGGCAACTATCCCAGTTTCCCATGACTGAAATTGGGATATGAATTGCTGCTGGTATTCATCCTGCTTATGAGATAATTCATAGAGTAGGAGATGTATGATTGTACATTGTACGATTTCAGGATATATTCCAAGAATGGTATACACACGAAGAAGAATTTATGTTATATACTAATAGCAAACCGATATCAAGTTTATAAACCTGATTCTCTTTAACTAAGAATGTTAAGTGTCTCTCAAAATAACACATCCCAGGAATTCGTAGGAGGGAGCCATGAAAACGATACTGGTATTAAACAGTTGTCAGTGTGTAGATATACTGATGTACTTTCATGTTATTATGATAAACACTAGGACTCTTGAGTTGTGATCCAGTATGGAAGTCTGGGGAATTTTATTCTCATGTATTCTGGTGTAAATAGACCTAGTGTACATCTTCCAAACTGATGGGCTCATTGGGAAATAATTCTCCTTCAGAATTTGTATTTTTCTGAATGTTGCAAAGCAGTTTTTCTTTCAGGGTCATCGTTCTTTTTAAGCACTACCAGTTAATTTAAATAGATCAGTGCAGTCCAGATCATCTTAATACGATACATGGATCTATGGTTAGAAAGGTAATCAATTCATAGCCCAATTTGAGGTTTAAACACACTGTAAACTAAAACAGAATATAATCATTAGAGTCTCAAATTAGCTTCTTTTTTATTTGCTTACATCAGTGGTTCTTAACCTGTGGGCCGCGGACCATCAGTGGGCTGCAAGGATGAAAATCTGGTCCGCTAGCTTAGTTCCTCTTTATTTATTTTATTTTATTTCCACTCCTTTCACACCGCCTGCCACTCCTTCCCTGTTGCTGACCATGTCATATGTTGTGTATCAAAAACTAGAGCTGGTGTGGTCTATCCAATGCAATTTTCTGAATCGGCACCCCAAACCGAATCTAAGATTGACCAAAAACTGATTCGGAATCCTTTTGGTACTAATGCTGAGGAGTGGTCCCTAGTCAAAGTGGTTCCTAGTCAAGTAGTCTCTGGTCAAAGTGGTCTCTGGTCAAATAAAGGTTGGGAATCACTGACTTACATAGTATATTTTCCGTATATCATATGGCTTTTGACTGGGGATGGGTGATAATTTAATTTGGTTAGTTCTTTTAAAGAATATTCGAGGATACCAAATTTCTTAAGCATGTTGGAAATAATTTATTCTCTGCCCACATCTACAAATGTGAAAGTGAAATTAAAAGATTCAATCATATCTGCCTCCATCACAGCAATAAGGTGATAATAAAAGTGAAAATCTGTGTATGTGGTGGAGGTGTCCACTTAACAAAGACAGGCTCCCGCCTCCATTAACAGCTTTAACCCACAGTGCTGAGGAGCCACTCAAAGCACTCCCTCCAGTGACATTTCAGGTTAGAGTGAGCACTATGAATATATAGCCCAAACACTGCCAGTGTCCTCCCATACCGACCACGACCCAAGTAAAGGCTTTCATTTGAGGACAAGTACATCCTAGATGTTCTGTTTTCCCTTCAAAATGGACATCCCAAGGTTTCTTTCTCTCTCCATTGATGTAGAATCTGCATTACCCCTCCCACTGCCTCTCCCTTAAACCTTTCCTACCCTTTCCTATGGCATATCAAACAGGAGTTGATCAGCAACTGAACAAGAGGGTTGGGAAGAATTCACCATGATTTATAGGAATTGCAGTTCACCTACATCCAGAGAGCACTGTGAACCTAACCAGCGATGGATCTACACCAAACTTGCCTTGAATCATGGAATTTGCAGTACCTTCACTCACTTCTAGAGACTACTGTAACCCCCACGGATAACAGACCTGAGCCAAACTTGGCACACAGACCCCCATGACCTGGGAGTCTGTATGCCAAATTTGGGGGAGGTATGATTTGGGGGGAGGATGGACTATAGATGATAGGATTTGCAGCACCTTCACCCCATTTACCTCTCACAGACCACTGCAACCCCCATGAAGGACAGACCTGGATCAAAATTGGATCACAGACTCCCCATGACCAACAACATACTGGAGATGTTTGGAGGAAATTGACCTTAATGGGAGTTATAGTTCACCTTCATCCAGAGAAACTGTGATCCCTCCAACAGTGGACTGGGACCAAACTTGGCATAGAGAAGCCCCATGACCAACTGAACAAACTGCAGGGGTTTGGGGGAAATTGACCTTGGATCTGGGAGTCGTAGTTCACCAGAGAGGATTGAACCCAGCCGACAATGGATCTGGACCAAATTTGACACACAGACCCAACTTGGCCAACTGTGCATACAGGCAGGATTTGGGGGTGAATGACTTTGGATCTGGAAGTTGTAGTTCACTAATATCCAGAGAACACTGAACACAGCCAACCTTAGATCTGGACCAGACTTGGCACACAGGCCCAACATGGCCAACTGTGCATACTGGTGAGATTATGGGTGATTGGCACACGATTTTGGGGATTGCAGTTAACCCACATCATTATGTATTTTCTGATGGGAGCATTCATAAACAATGAATTTAAAGACTGACTTTTTCTAATAAAAATGTTACTAATTAATGAAATGATATTACCTAACAACCCAAAACAAAAATGCCTTTTTCAAATAACCTGGGCACCGCTGGGTCCCAAAGCTAGTATAATAATAAATAATTCCCAATAATATCATATAGTGTTACCCTGTGGATTTATATTTTTGTGGCAAAGTTTTAAGTTACTGTCTTTTTTTACACTATCATGCAAATTTCAAATTTGAAAGTACAAATTCCTGTGGATTATCATTCAGGATGGGATGGATGAGATCAAAATCATGTCTGATATTAAACACATTTTATACTGTTGAGTTGTAGTATCTCTTACAGCATATGAGGTTTGGGAGACAACCACAGAAAGTACTTAACAAGTACAAGGAACTAGAACGGGTTCACATATTATGAGAAAATGTATAGCTAGAACACAATTTAGGGTAAATAGCTCTGTTTTAGATACAAATGTCTTGAGGTCAAACTCAAGAGGATGAATTCCATATATTTTCCTCATATTTTGATAACTATTGTATAAGTCAGCAGATAATCTCCTTACCTGTCAAAATTTCAGCTAATATAATACTAATACATTCCTCCTCCTCCTTTTCCCCCTCCTCTTCCTTTTTTCTTTTTCCCTACAGGAGGATTCAACAGACTGTGGTGGGGTCTCTGGCCTGAGCCCATCACTATGGTCTATGGTAGGAATCCAGATTATCCTGTTCTGGCTGTTATCTGGCAGTAGACATTGCCAGTTATGACCATGTTGAAACCAAAATCTGCCTAATAAAGAAGCCTATCATTTCATTTGGAAAAAAGAAGGGGGTTCATTCTGTTCAGACAACAGATAAATGGCAGTGTCCATAAAGTGATATTCTTTTTTGGAATAACTCTGAAGGCACCCACTGTGGCTGCATGTTGGCGTGTCAGATCCGTAGATGTGTGTGAATGCTGCATTCATCTAGGCCACTGGAACTGAATTCTATATGTGCTTCATTGAGAAATTGTTGTAGTTTTGAAGACTTTTAAGTGAAAAGGGCTTCCCTTTAAAAGGTTACACAACTTTTATTTATTTGATCTTAGTTTTGAATATGTTTCATTCTTTATGTAATAGTTTTTTAAGAGTGGCGGAAATCCTATCATTTCCTTAGCCCTCTTATTGTGAGTATTTCATGCCTCCTTTCAAACTTAGTTATGTCCAGATCATGGACTTTAGTTTCTAAAAGAATAATTTCATTCTGGCTATCCCAGGGGTTTCCTAACATGTGAAGTTGGCTGGGCACATTCATAATTTTGCAGAAGTATTATTGGCCTCATCACAAAATAATTGTCATGTGGCACGTCTGTTCACAAATTGATGGCCACAGTAGTTGTGGCCAGCTACAAAAACTATTCATTTCAAAGAAGGGTGAAGTGTACTTAAAAACAAATAAGCTATTGCTGGTTGTAGTAGTGGTATGTCTGAGAACAAAAAAGTAGACCATACCTTCAAACTCATTAATTGAAAGGTCACCCGAAATAGAGATTCCTTAAACACTGTCTAAGCTCATAAGCAACCAGGCCTCCTTTTTCTTTCACCCACAATTTCAATTTTAACAGGCATGAGGAGCCAAGTGCTACCTTCCAACTATCATCTGCATTTTCTGCAAATGCCTGTGCACCTATGTGGAGCCCAGAGGGGCATTCTGGATAAGTGATGATGAAGACTGGTGCTTAGCTTTGCAGGACATGGAAGCTGCCAGGTTTCAAAAAGCTTTAAAACTAAGGGAGACTTCAGGGTGCTTTGTGGGCACCAAGAGACCTGCAAATTCTGCATTGGGGTCTCCAGGGCTAGCCAGCTACAGAGATTCTCTGAAACATAAAATGCCTTATTCTGAGTGATTTTTTTCTCCTCTCTGTAAATTACGACAAATGGGCAAGCAGCTAAGTTTGAGTAGGTTTGTGATATTTTGTGTGTGTGAATTTTTATATTGCAAAAACGTGTCAATGAGAAAAAGAAAAAGAGACATAGCATAATTTATCAATGGAAAGTTTGTTGAGAATTTCATACTTCAACAGGAAAAATGGTATCTGTTCTCTACTGCACAATTGTCAATGTCTATGCCATGGTCCCTGTTCTCAGAACAGTTCCTTATCACTAAGTTGTCCAAAATGTTCAGACACAAAGTTTGTGAGTAAAAAATGTCTTTGTGAATATTGAACATTGGTTGCCAAGGGTATTTTGCATGATGATGAAGTTGCTGCTTTGCTGTCTCTTTCAGTTTGGTTATTTTCTCCTTTTCCCTTTAGATGGTTGACTATAGTTTATTTCAAAGGTAACTGAGTGATTGTTTTGTTGTGTGAGAAACCAAATATTGCAATGTGATGCCATTTTAATCTTAAGTGATATACTGTTAAAACAGATATCTGAATATACTGTGCAACATAAAAACTGAAAAGGGGTATAGTACATTTAGTTGCTGCACAAATAGGAAGAGATGGGTTTTATGCCAGTGAAAAGAAATGCCAGAAATTGTGTCTACAGATATTTTAAGTAAATGAAATCAAATTATAGCTCTTTCTTTTTGAAGAGTGTATATGCTCAAATTTGTAACTCGTGGATTTTGTTGCTGTTGTTTCTTTCTATTACAATTAGTTATAAAGTATCCGACCCCTCTATTTTTTTAGTAAAAAAAATAGCAAGCTGGAAAGCCCAGAATTTACTGAAATGATATCAAAATCTGAAGAAATGGGGAGCCTTGAATCTATATGTATGTACAGTGATACTTGATTATGAATAATAATAAATCCATGTTTTATATAAACCTAGTAATTATTCAGAGCAGTAAAGTCATTATAAGTTTACAGTATAGAATAGCATAGAAACAAGATAGAATAATTTTGTTCCAATCCCATTTTCACTAGACTAGCCAGTATTGCAAGACAACTAAATAAATAAATGTGCAACTTCGCTGCGGTCAATTCACCCTACAGAATTATAGCACTGTTATTCCACTTTAACTTTCATGGTTCCATCTTCTGGAATCTTGGGGTTGCCAGTTTAGGAACTTGCAGTTAAATTTCTCAGAGAGCTCTAGTATATAACAAAGCTCCAGGATTCCATAGGATAGAACAATGGTAGTTAAAGTGAAATAATCGCACCATACTTCTCTAGTGTGAAAGAGCCTCAGGAGAAGAGAGGAAAATATTTAAAACCACTATGCTGATAAATGACTTCCATCTAATGTTATGTTCCAAGTTTTGTTCCAATTTTAGGAGGATAATTTGGGAGTGCATTAACATTTTTTTTAAAAAAATCACATTTTTACACAAATATAAAGTTTTATTTTCTAGTTTTTCCTAGGTCTGATTTTTTTCCCTTTCCACCAGCAAATTTCCGCAATAGCTGTTAAAAATCAAGAGTACAGAAAAACGAGATTTTGTGTGAAGTTGCTTAACTCTTTTGTAAGGCCATGTAGGTCTAGGTATAGATTCAAGGGATTCTGCATAAGCAATGTCTCGCTAACATGTTTCAAAATGGTGGAATAAAAATGACTCAGGAGGATTACATTCAGATTTGGGATGTTTTCCTTACCAATTAGAATTCTTTTTATGAAGATGGTACATGTAAGGGAGTGTATTGACTGTGCATTTATTTGTGTTTTAATTTCAGTAATTTAAGACTAGTGATTAATTAACGCTGTGCTCCTTTAGCTTTTGTTCCCAAAGCAAATAAAGTAGAATTGTGGTATTGCCTAAATCTTGTCCGAACAGGAGTCCATTTTCAATTTACATCTATGTAAACTCTGACTTATCTTGTCAGGAATAATTTGCATCTTGGAAGGTCATCCTCTGTCTGGGAAAGCAATATCTTAGGAATTGGCATGTTGGATAAGGCCACCAGTGTAGTTTAAGCCCAGAGGCTTAAAAGAACTTGACCAAAGATGATAGAGATGTGGGTCCTACACCTTGATCTTCTGCATCTTGACAGTAAGACACACTTCCTTCTCTTATGTAGCCTAAAGAAGAGAACTTTTTCCAATTTAATTTCCCATTCAGGCATTATTTTACAATAGCCATTGAATGCCACTTTAAAACACCAGCATGTTTCCACATATATATTTGGCACAGTCTCCTCTTTACCAGTTGGTAAGTTATGCTTTAACCACTGGGCAAGCCCTTCTGTATACCACTCTCCTCAGTAATGGGAAGAATACTTCATCAGCAGTAGTTTATTCTAGCATGCCAGCCTTAGTTCACTTGATTTTATTTTAACTAGACAGCATTGCAAATCTTTTCTATTGCTGTCCTCTCTATTTCTTTTTGGGACCATCTCTTCAGTAATTTTAAGGTACTACTTCCAATTGCTTCCTGTTTGGTATTCCTAAGATATTGCTGATAAATTATTCCACTCCATTGATGTTTCTTTTTAAAATTGCTAAAACTTGGACTTTAATTACTTTTTCTTCTTTTTTTAGGTAGAACACTACTATTTTGCAGGGTTTTTTAAAAAAATAAGAAAATAAATGAGGAGAAGAAAGCTTCTGTTTTTCTATTTTCTCCCCTGTTTACAGTGAACAGAAAGATTAAATATTTCATCAATAATTCTAGGATCTTGCCAAACAAGAAGCAATTAGAAAGAAAAGCTTCTATTAGTTACAAAGTACATTTGCAGGATGGACACTTAGACCTGCTGATGGCCATAATCAGATATTATAGTGATGCTATCAATTGTTGCCTGGAATTCCCTTTCCATTGAAGAATCACAATATAGGCTGATTATCCCTTATCTGATTTCCAAAATCTGAAAAACTCCAAAATACAAAATTGTTCACATGGCTGACTGAGATCAGGCCCGTAGCCAGGATTTCGTTTCGGGGGGGGGGGGGGCTAAAAAAATTTCAGGGGGGGGTTTCGGGGGGGGGCTGAGTCTGAGTGAAAGAGGGTCTAGCCTAGCAAACCTTTTGTATTATTACCCCAATACCCCCATGCATATGGGATATATTGAGTATGGTGATCAGATCATGATATGAATAAACATAACAGTTTAAATAATGCACCAGTAAGGCCTTTTCGCGAACCACCATGAGAATTTCAGGCTACATGCCTGACTGAGATAGAGACACTTTTGTTTCATGGTGTTTTGTTGTAAACAAACTTTTGTCTTGTGCACAAAATAATTAAGTACATTGAATATAAAATTACCTTTAAACTATGTTTACTCGATGTATATGAAACATAAATGTCATGTTTACTTTAGGTCTCATCTCCAAGATGTACCATTATGTATATGTAAATATTTCAAATTATGAAAAAAATTGAAATACAGAACATACTATCTGTCCTTTAAGAGGTCTCAAATTTTACATCTAGTCTCAAATTTTACATCTTGAACTTTCCTAGCTTACAAAGTGCTGAGCTTTTGTTTGCTATATTCACTATATAGAAGGAAGAAAGGAGAATCATGGAAAAATGCGTATCTTGCAAGAAAGAATAGAATAGTTGTTCTTCTAATTAAGTAATCAGGAACCAATTCCTTGTTACTGGTCAGTTGCCAAAAGATAGTATTTACACATCATCCAGGAAAGACAAAAGTCTTGATTTATTCTGAGAAAACATTTTCCAGTGAAAGCATTTTTAAAAAGAATAAATGATCTTATCACAGGCAGCATACATCCCCTTATAAACCCCCCTTGTGATATCACAACCAGTCATGTTGATGTCTTAGAAGAAATACTTTTAGTTGTTTACATTGGAGATGTGGGCCTTGCCTCATGTTCCTGGCTGTAGCACTTTAGAAAAATAGTTTGACAGATTTAAGGAAAAAGCCATGTCCACAACTTGAAAATCATCCAGCTGTATTTATTATTTATTTATTTATTTATTATTTAAACTTATATGCCGCCACTCCCCTGGGGCTCGGAGCGGCTTACAAGAATAGTTAAAATCTAACAAAGTTTAAAAGCAATTTAACAATTTTAAAACAACAGTATCAAACATTAAAAGCCTGTCGGAACAGGTATGTCTTACATGCCCTGCGGAAAGCTGGTAAGTCCTGTAGGGCACGAACTTCAGGTGGCAGAGCATTCCAGACTGATGGTGCCACTGCTGTGAAGGCTCTGCGTCTGGTTGCCGTTAGACGCAAGGTCTTGACACTGGGGACTTCCAATAGATCTTGGTCCTCAGAACGGAGGGATCTCTGGGGTTGGTAGGGGGTGAGGCGGTCCCTCAGATACATCGGCCCCAGACCATGCAAGGCCTTAAAGGTGAGTACCATCACTTTGAAAGTGATCCGGTGCTCAATTGGTAACCAATGCAGCTGAGTCGCCTACGGGCTGAGATAGTGCGGTATACAAATAAAGTAAATAAATAAATAAATAGTAAGATTGGTGTTATGTGGCATCTCATCGGAATTCCCGCAAGAAGCCGAGCAGCTGCGTTTTGTACCAACTTGAGCTTCCGAATCACCAACAGAGAGAGGCCAATGTAGAGGGCGTTACAGTAGTCCAGTCTTGAGATGACCGTGGCCTGGATCACCGTAGCTAGGTCATCCCTGGACAGGTAGGGGGCCAGCCGTCTAGCCTGCCACAGGTGAAAGAAGGCGGTTCTGCTCACGGCGGAGACCTGGGCCTCCATTGTCAGCAGAGGGTCCAAAAGGACTGCCAGACTCTTTACCAATGATGACGGGCGTAACGCCTCGCCATCCAGGGTGGGCAGATGGATGTCCCCACTGCCCGGTCCACCCAGCCATAGGATCTCCGTCTTTGCTGGATTCACCCTCAACCTGCTGGCACGCAGCCATCCATTAACGGCCTCGAGGCACTGATGGAAACAATCGGGTACAGAGTCCGATCGGCCTTCCATCTTCAGCACCAGGTGAGTGTCATCGGCATACTGATAACACTCAAGCCCAAAACCTCGAACCAGCTGAGCAAGTGGTCGCATATAGATGTTAAACAACAAAGGGGAGAGAATGGCCCCCTGAGGAACCCCACAAGATAGAGGGGACCTCTCAGAGACCAGGCCTCCCCTCTCCAGTATGACACTGGATTTTTGCTTGAAATTTGTAGTAGTGGATTTCTCCCTCCTGATTGTATGCAAATTGTACCCAGTCATTTAATGTTAAACAATACATTGTGGATATAAGTATATATACATATATTTTCCAGGAGATGATTTACTACACCATTCTAAATGTCCCCGACCTTATAAATAGTGATGGTCCAGTTCTAGGAAATCATTTTTGTCCAATATTTTGTGAATTGGGCATGCATTCTCATGCACTCCTCGTTCTGACAAGACTTGGCTTTAATAATCATTTTTCACATTAATTGGCTATAGGAGCATAAGCCTTAATATATCATTTGAAAAGGTCTTATCTTTAGCATATGTAACAAAGCTTTCTCACTTCAACACTTCTAGCTGAACCAGAGGACATTAAAAAGTTGTTCTGACTGTCTTAAATTCTACAATAAGAAGGAGGCCCTGCTGTGTTATTTATTTGACAATTAAACCATTTTAGTTCTGTATTTTTAAAAGGAGAGAGAGAAAAGGGAAGAAGAACTGGCAAATTGAATGGCTTAGATCTCCATTCCTTCCATTGGAACAACCAGCATTACTGCCAAAACACGAAGTGTGGTCCATATTTATACCAGGTTTTTAACATGGCATATATTTCATGAGCTTGACTGTGGAGATTTTTAAGCCTTGTACCTTTAAAGACTTTAGTATGATGTCTTTACATGTTTCTAATGCTTGAGGCTTTTTTGCTTAAAACTTGACAAGAAAAACAACATTGATGCCATTTGTAAGTTTTCGTATACTATTCCTTTGACTGAATTTTAAGCACTAGCCTTACTGCATTCAGACAGGCACTACCCTTTTTTTAAAGTGACCTTTGCAACCCAAGTGTTACTTGCTGTTTTTAAAATACAGTACTTTCTAAAGGACATGGAGACATTTTATTCTCCATGTCCTTCACATGGGAAGGAATTATTTATTCCAACATTGTCAGATGTTCTTTTCATATCTTACTCATGTGAAGCCAGGCTCCATGTATCGATAATGTGGTTTCCCGCCTTGGCATTATACCCCCCAGCTAGCCCTGGCCCAGACATACACTCCTTCACATCTGTACCTGGTACACCTCTGTGCATAGCAGGGATATAATTTTTATTTTGTTCTTCTTTATTTATCGTGTCATCCGCAACCAGAACATTGTATTACATTTCTAACAGAAATTTTGTTCTTATAAATGATTTTATTTATAAAATGAGATTGAGAGTGGCTGAGATACACCTTTTGATGATAGCTTATCTGGATTTTTTTGCAAATCCCATCCACAATTTTCTGCAGAAAACAATGCATTAGCACATGTTTTCACAAATGATGCCCCCCCCCACACACACACACATTTTGATGTAACATCTAAAAGGCTTGGCCATTTTCTTCATGGGGTACCTTATTAAAGATGCAAAAATTATACTTCCTTGCATCCCTAGTGCACAGATCTCTACTTGTTCTGGAAGCCCAATGATACAAACTTAAAGAATGTGTAGAAACATAATGCACATCCAGATTGGTGTGTAGAGATTGCATTACCGAAATTCAGCACTGTTGACATGGGGCCCCTTCACACTACAGAAATACAACATTTTGATTATCATGCCTGCATCCTGTGAAATCCTGGGATTCATCATTTTCTTGAGGCATTAGCAGGATTGGATTAACCAGGACATCAAGGGAAATTTTCCATTGCGA